TTTAATTACAAAGCACGTTTTGCGATTACTAACAACTAATGAGCCGCTAATAATATTCAAGAGGCGTCTTTGTTTGTGGTTTTAGATGATTCAGCTTAAGTGATGTTTATTGTACGCGACAAGATAGACAAACGAGAGAATATATACAATGTAAATGTCTCTAGTAAATAGTGTATCGGGAGTAACATTTGTGACTGTTATAATAATTACTGTAAACTAGGTTTTTTCGCCGCTCTTTTTGCATGGCGACAAAACATACTTTATACAAAACAAAAAATTAATTACGAATATCTTTTCAAAATGGCGGCGAAACGCCATACGCCATTTTGGTTGAAACGCGCAAAAAGCACTAAGTCTATATTACCGACTTTCAACTTTCGGAGACCATACCTTAATATTAACAAAGTCGGTGATAAGAATGTGTTTTGACTTTTATACCGATAATTATACTTATACATATACGAGCAAACATAAAACGACATATAAGAACATATAACTGTGCATTTGAATTACGTATATAATATATTTGGTGCATCTTAAAGTAAATGTGTCACATGAAGTACATATTTTTGGGGTCTAATTTTATATTTTTCTTAAAATTGTTTTGTTTTCAATTTTTCTTAAAACATACATACATACATATATGTTTCCTATACACTATAGTATTAAACAAATTATTTTTGCTTTATAATATGGTGTTGTAACAATATACGGCTAATCACGTAAACATCTTTGTAATCAATTTATAGTTTTTCTGAAACATCTTGGATTTCATCTGAAAATCTGAATATGAAATGGTTGAAAGGAATATCTAAATTCCGTTCGGCTCAAGAACCAGGGTCCACAGATGAAAAATCCTTGATGTTTAATCACGTTTCGGTTTCAGTCTGTGGATTTCCGAATATCGAAAGTCAAAATAAGTCGGCAGCGCAATTTGTTTAGATACCCCCTCTCTTTGTCTGTCCTCCTCTATGATTAAAAAAAAAAAAAAATCTATTTTATATGTTTTTACTCTAGTATTAATTACTACTATCAGCGATATATAACGAATACTACCTTTTATATTTTTAAGGTTAGAATTTCCACCCTCTTTAATAACACCAGTATGTTCTTTGCGTTTTCTCTTTTCATTGAATAGGCAGGCCTATTTACATTTCTTCGCAAAACTCTCCGCTCTTGTATTATTTGGCAAATCATCACTTAGGCTGTTGTCTACTATAAACGCAGGTCGCGTACGCGCGTTTGGCCACTTACTTTTATGGAAATGTACTATTGTCGTCTCTTTTACACGCTGTCGTTTCAATGAGGCTGCAGAGGGGCCTAATAACAGAAAACATGATTTTGAGTTAGGAGGAAAATAAATGCGTAATCCATTATTAATATTAGGCGAAAATAAATTTGTACTATTATTTGTGTTAGAACTATAGTAAGTAACAACTTTCGGTTACTGTGCATGTACCTAAATGATAATATACATCGTATTGTATATTATCATTTTTAGGCTATAAAAATAAAAATATTAAGTCAAGTCATAAAATTGCAGTTGGACTTTGGCTCTAGCGACTTCATATATTAGATTTTGTTATTTCGACTTAATCCTTGAATTTGACTAGCATTGTTTTTAACGAAGTCCCTTTTCCCCCCGGGAGACATGGGGCAAAGACATTTCTGTGTCCGTTTCTCAGATTTTCTTTACAATCAAGTAGTTGATCAGCCCGACCGAAGTAGTATATTGCTTCCCTAAGACTCGAACCCAGGACCTCTTGCGCTCAACGTATTGCTAGGCAACACGTTTAACCATTTAGCTACAGAAGAGATATCATCGATGATGTCATTGACCTCACGTCTAAGTGACACGGTAGCTCAATTGGCTATATCAGCAGCACGAGCTGTGTGTATGGGTACAATTGCTGTCTGTGCTTTTTTTTACTCTAAGAAGATTTTTACACACACTAAATATTAAAGTTTTCAAACAATAGGATCTTGTTGACACTGTGACGCGTAACGCGTTACGTTGCACATCAGAGACCAGAGCTGAACTGTCGATTGAATTTAGAACGTTTTGACCGGTAATGGAAGCCGTCATGACACTAATTGAGTTTGTAGTCGGTCATTTGATGACAACATTTGGTTCTTGTCGACGCTGAGTCATATCACATTTATTTTGGTCGTATATTCGAATTTAGAACTCTGCGCAAGTGTATACGTCGTCATGTTAGTGGTTCTGCCACGATCATATTTATGTCTTTGTAAGTGACACCTTCTGAGCTTGAGAAGACACCAGGAAACCAACTATTGGCATGACGTCAGCTTTTAGTTCAAATTATATATCGGTTGAGACTTATAATATGAATAATAGTAATAAATACTGTCTGTAGTGTACGCGAGTAGTATATGTTTAAATAAAACACTTTAACGGTTTAATACGCGATGTATATTAGTTAGAGGGAGGGCGGCCTCAAGTTGATAAACACCTGGGATTCCATATTAAAAACTCTAGATTCAAAAAAACAGTATATCGTCAAACGCGAAGACACCGATAGGAAATTTTTCAAGGGCCCGGCCCGTTTCGCCAAATACCAACTACGACGGAACAGATGGCGCTAGTAGCAATTTTTATTTTCACTTGAAAGGCTCCCTCCATATTTAGTCACCCCGTCACCACGACTGCCGGAAAGCATCCGAAACGTCGGGCCGTAGATAAAATACTTTTCAAATAAACTTAACTTATATTCATCGCCTTTTAAACCATTAAAGTGTTTTACTTAAGTCAATTATATTATGTTGATGACTTATATGGAAGGAGTTCTTTACTATTGAATATTATTTTACAATTTTATTGAAATCATTCTCAGTATATTTTTACTTACTTAAATATAAAATAAAAAAAAACAAATATCTTCTCGATGACCAGAAAGTAGAAATTTAAAACATATAGAAAATAAAACATATACTTAACATTATTGTGAAAGTAATTAAAAGGATTATTAATAAATTGCGTGAGGCTTTCAAGGCCATCGTTCAGCATATCATTGTCTTTCGGGCTGTTGGCCGATGTGAGGCGAGAAGAAGATTCTTCGAGCAATCGAGGAGTCAACATCTCCTGATGATGCCGTTCAAGTGATGGCGAAACGTGGGAAGCTTCTCGCTAATGGCCGAACAGCCCGAAAGACTTATGAGATTATTAAGTTCATAAATATATATTTAAAAACATAAAAATCGACAGTAATTTTTAGACCAATCTCAAACTTACATTAGGTTTACATTATGTAGTTCTGCCTTTCATTGATATATTTATTTATTAAAAACCAATCACACAGACGCAGAAAATAATTCTAACATAAAATCTAAAAATAGATTTGTGCTAATCAACGTTTCCTGAAAAAGACTAGGTTTTCTAGATTTTTGTATCAATGCGGGCTTTACTTATTTCGGGCAATAAATGTACACGAGGCATGCAATATGGATTTCGGGACAGGCAAAGTAAAAAATAGGTCACGCTCTACTTGGGTGTCATATGGCTCTGACTTTTCACCTGTTATCAATCGAGATTCATACTCTTGTCTATTGTGGAGATTGTTCAGCCGTATGCTAATGGAAAATATAATTTCATTCATATATTAATAAATTTATCCATTCAAGCTGTTTTATATGTAGGTAATTTAGGCGTGTTATAAATAAAATTCAAACATTAACAATATACAATGCTAATAATATTAGTTTTTTTTACACTAGAAATGTTTTTCAAAACCGTTTAAAGTGTTACTTACCGTTACTTAATGTCTATGATAAAGTTTGAATTTTCAATAATCGAATAATACCTAACGATATAGAGATTCTATGAAAAGTAGGTATGTTTGTTATTTTTTCACAACCAAACGACTGAACAAGTTTTTAAAAATTTACTTTGATGTAACCCTAAAATACATTAACGACCCCCATGGCTCAATGGTTTGACCAAGCAGAGCACAGATGCTTGATTACCTAAGCTACACTGATATCACTGAAGAGTTTGTATTTTGTTTGAACGCGCTAATCTCAGGAAGTTAGTTGGGTTTATCGAGAACAGCTTTGGGCTATAAAATATCATGCTGCAACCAGTAAGAGTGAAGAAGCAGTGTGAAATGTGGAAAACCCGTTTATTTTCGTTGCGTGCTTTACGAAAACAGTTCAAGATTGCGACAGTTTATCTTTTAAGAGTAACACACAAATCATATTTATGGCAATCAAATAATAAAATCCATTAAAGAAATCGATACAATGCCCAATGCCCCAGATTTCGGAAAATGGGATTCAACAATACAGAGCAAGTTAAGATAATATAAAAAATAAAATAATAATAAGATATGGCCCTAATATTTCTTGTTGATCAATAAATATTGCACGTCTCGGAATCAGTTCAAAGTAACATCCGCCCGTCACAGGTCACTTGTTTGTATGAATCGCATCTGACATGGTTCACTGCACACAATACTCATGAATTTACCATGTCTCATATCCCCACGATGAATAGCCTACATACGAAGGAAAGAAAGAAATACGTATATGCCTATACAATATATAAAGCTGAAGAGTTTGTTTGTTTGAATGCGCTAATCTTAGGAACTACGGCTTCGAATTAATTCTTTTTTAAATACTGTCGGGTGTTCACGGGAGTAGAACACATTTAAATAAATACTTTAACGTTTTAAAACGCGAATTATAAACTTATTTGGAGTGACCATGACCCTCTCCCCGTGCGCTGAGCGCTTAGCTGCTGCAAAGCATCCGAAACGTAGAGCCGCAGTTAAAATAAAATTAAAAATATGTTTAATATCGTAGATTAATTCTCGGAGAAAAGCAAGCAACTTCATGACCCAAAAAAAACATTCGCCCCATGCCCCCCACCAGTGGATGGACCTTTTATAATGATTATATTTTTTTTCTTTTCAGATATGTCTAAGTGACAGTGCAGTGTTAAAGCACGCGCAAGTGTTTAGTGAAGTAAATATGGTGACAAGATGAAGTTGTGGAAAAGCCTGAAAATTTCCATCGGAAAAACGGACTCGAAGGGCTACCCGAGCGACCTACCGCAGTGGGGAGGGCAAGGATATGAGTTGGATGGTATGTCATCAATATTTCACAATCTACTGTCTGTCGTTTACGCAAGTAGTAGACATTTAAACAAAACATTTTAACTGTTCAAAATGCGATATATATTATATTACTTCAACTTATTTGGAAATTATTTAACTACGGCCAGACGTTTCGGATTTTTCGTTTAGCTGTCAAGTAAAAACTGCTCGTAGCGAAATCTGTTCGTAGGTATTTGGTGAAACTCGGTCGGGTCTTTGCAGAATTGACTAACGGTGTCTTCGCGTTTGCCGATATGCTGTTTTCTGGAATCCAAAGTTTCGAATATGGGAGGTGTTTGATAACTTGAGGCCGCCCTCTCTATTGCAATTTTTGCGTTTTGTTAATTTCGAATTTCAAATTTGTATAACAACTATATATATCGCGTTTTGAACCGTTAAAGTATTTTATTAAATTTTACATTCTGTCGCATATTCAATTTGAAAAATTTCTGTGATTCATGCTTATTTTTTATTATGGAAATACTTTCATGGTATCCACTTTCCATGGATAGATTTCAAAAAGCATAAAATGTAGATCAATAAATGGTGTCTGTGTTCAAAAATAGCCACGACTAAATCAATAATTTAAACTAAGAAAACTTTTTCCATTAATATTAAACACGATGACATTATATAATTTAGCTACCGTGCTTGCAAATTAAGATATTTTTGTAATATTACTACTTCTGAATTATTAGTTTACACAAAAACGTCTTTAAAACTTCCAGCTTTTCCAACATTTAATATACTATAAGTTTGTACAAAAGCTTTATATAACGGTCATATAATTCGCACAAATTTATCACAATCGCGTCTAGGGAACGCGGAAAAACGGATTTCCGTTTAAAAAAATCACAATGAAATTAAGAAAATCTAATGCAAATGGGAATCCAGCGACGCTCCAGTTGTCTTAATAAATTACAAACACTTGTAGAAAATGGTTTTAAATGAAGAGTCGGAGCGAGGTTGCGAATGGCGGACATTTTGAGGGTACTTCGCGCGGACTCAGCGGAATTAACAATGGACCCCGAGACCGGTGCCCTAAATTATAGGATATCTAATTTTCTGTACCACACTGTCTAATAAAACACTTTTAAATTAAAATTTTAAGTTTTAAACCGTTAAAAGTGCTTTATTTCAAGTTTACCACTTAAGTAACTATCTATAATACCTGCTACGTGTAAATCTTGAATCTTGAAAATTAAACAACCGCCACTATATTGAAAACCAATCTGAAAATTGTGACTAAACTCACTGTAATCTATGTATAAATTTTAAATATGAATAAAGAAGATATTAGGAAAGAGTAACTGACAAGGGGCTTAGAACACATGTACTGTTTTGATATTAACTACTGATAGGTTATACTGTCTACAGTTTACGCAAGTAGTACACATTTAAATATAACACTTTAACGGTTTAAATCGCGATATATTAGTTATCGAACTATGTTTGCATTATCCAGCCCGTACTGGTTAATAAAACACTGTCTATAGTTTATGCGAGTAGTACACATTTGAATACTTTAACGCCATATATTAGTTAAACTTATTTGCATATGCAGCCGAACTCGGCCGATTAAAAACATTCAAATAAGTATAACTAAAAATATCGCGTTTTAAACCGTTAAAGTGTTTTATTTAAACACTGATAGGTTACTCTACTTGTCATTCTGTGATTCCGTCTGCTTCAATACTAAATTAAAGATACCTATTAAAAACTATGCAAACAACGACTTTATTTTTAAGCGTTCAAAAATAAAACTACCTACGGATCTGTTAAAATTTCGTTGTGCACAATGGGAGACGCCGGTATTGTTACGTAAAAGAAGCTTAAATTTTGTGGGGAATTTTGTTTTTCACTAATTCTAACTTTTTAATTTAATGATTAAAAAAAATCCCTTTTGTGACGGAGGAGGACAGGTAAGCATGTCGTGAGGTGAAACGTCTTGATGGAAATTGTTGTCGACATATTTTGATTTTGCATGTTCAGTAATGCTGAAGAACAAGTTAATAACAACTTAGCTTATATTAATTTATAGAGTCAACAATGTTTAAATTAACGGCTTGCAAAACTCAACAAGCATAGAAAAATTAATACACACTTTACATTTTTTTATATAATGACAGTGAAGTATAAGGTACACTTGATGGATCTCGTGCCAAATAATGTCTAAACAAGATACGCTGTCGACCTTTTTTGGCTTATAAATTTGCATACTAGGAAATCTACAGACTGAAACCGAAACTCGATTAAACTTCACCACTTTTTCATCTGCTGACGGTGGTTCGCACGCGGAATTTTGGTATTCCTAGCAATGTTAAAACTTCTATTAAGTTAATGTAACTACAACATAATTTTGTTGCATACAACGTGCAACGAGAATATGATTATTTCTGTGAGTTGGCGAACGTACTTTTACGTAGAAACTCGAGATAAAGCGGAATAAAGCGCAAAATGAAGGAAATCTTTATACAGTTTGAGCTATGACGTCTCATAGTAGTATTGTACTAGCAAAAAATAATATGTTATTTGACATATTTTCCTACTTGTAGAGGTAATTGTTGAGTTTGATTGTGAAGAATTGAAAGCACTATGTATTATTTATGTAAAGACTATTGTAGCTTAAAAAACATCTGTAACATAGGATAAGCTAGCTCAATCGTACAGCACAGCGTGTTGCTGTTTCATCATTAGTCATCAACATTTAAAAATCTAAAATAGATTATGATTGTATACTTTGAAAAAGTATGTACATCTATAATATATAAAGCTGAGGAGTTTGTTTGTTTGAACGCGCTAATCTCAGGAACTACGGGTCCGAATTGAATAATTCTTCAGATTTTCTGTTGGTTAGAGCAAATGCTCTAACCAACAGAAAATCTCTCTAGATAAATATCTAGGCTATAGGATATAAAACTTCGCGCTGTGACTACTAGGAGCGAAGTCACAGCTTTCGAATACTTAAGTCCCAAAGCTGCTCTACAGGAAATCGAAGGCGCGACAGACATTTTTCTTTACCTTATTAATAATAATTAATTAATTCGAAATGGAAGTATTATCTTTAGATCACCCGAGTAGTACCTACAGATATAAATAAAACTCTAAATATATCACTTACATATTTTGCGTTTTTAACCGTTAAAATAGCTTTATTTATTGGTTATTCACGTTTTTTGGTTAACTATTCGACATTGGTCGTCTGTCGTTCGTTTGTGGTCAATTAAATTTTTGAGGGTAGAAGTTTTATAAATTAATACTCGAAGTTAAAGTTAGGAAGTGAATTCCTATTCCCACTTATATATCGTCTTTGTAAATGAAACACGTACAATATATCAAGTTCAAATAACGTTTGCAAATAGCTTTTTCTAGGGGTACGTCTGCCATTATTCATTACTCCGTCCCAGCGACGTATGTGGTTCCTATTGTGTTTGCACAAATAGCTCTCCGCAGAATACTTCTTTCAATGCTGAGAATATATATTTTATTAGTTCCGTTCTAATTGCGATAGTTGCCAGCGGTCGGGTCGAATACGGCTAGGCGATACTAGTAATTATGAATATAAGTTTGTTGGTTTGAAAAATTAATTGATCAATTTTAAAAACATTTGACAACAATTGACAGAATTAAGTTATTTAAAAAAACATATTTGGAGATTATCTTAATCAGTCTCCCCGTGACCACGGCTGCTACATAGCATCCAAAATGTCGGGCCGTTGTTAAAATAATCTCCAAATAAGTTTAACTAATATATATTGCGTTTGAAACCGTTAAAGTGTTTTATTGAAATGTGTAGTAATCGCGTAAACTACAGACAGTATTTAGTATAAAGTTAGGTTAAACAATAATTAATTATTTGATTCGTTGCGGTACTGGTAAAAACGTAATAATCAACGGGTCGTTTGATTCTTATGGTGTCCAACCTTTTTCTAATCAATTTATACTTTTTCTGAAACGTGTTAGACTTTGTTTGGAAATTTGGATATTAAATAACTAGCCAATATATTTCTTGGGGTACATCGCATCATGTTTAGATGTTATATGGATGGGGGTATTTTATGTAATTCAGTTGAATTAGGCCGCTTGCCTGTCAATAAAATTGACCAATAAAACATAGAAATATGTCTGACTAATAGGCATAGGACACACAAGGCTACTCTTTTACAAAATCATGGCGGTACTTTGAAAATCGCGTAATTTCAGTGCTCATTTTCCGCGTTAACGCGACGTAGTTTAACGTCGCCTCGTCTAAAGATAAATCCAGTGTTACCAGCATGAAGGGGAAACTAGATATGTTTTATAAAAAATCTCGCAACACGTATTTTCATTTAAACCAAACATTTTTACGAGTTAGAAAATATTGTATTTTCCACCAGTTGTTTGTTTACGGTACATTAAGTTTTCGTGTTGAATTTCGTTTGATTATATATGAACTGAAATGTTAGTAGTATGTTACCTCAACAAGATATTTCGGCTTGATTTAGCAGAGGCACGGCAAATAGTTTACGCGAGTGATACTTATAATAGGTACTTTTTGGTGAAATAAATTTTACCAAATTGAAAACGCGTTTCAATTTAGTAAAAATAGTGTAAATTAAATTAGATATATGACAGGTGGTTCGATAAAAGGTCCTTTGTTTGCCTGTTCCGTGCCTTTAATTGAAGTGGCCCAACATCGCCTTATGGTTTCAATAAAAAATGTACTAGTACCGGTGTTTTGTGTCTTTTTTCCTATTTCCTAGTAGATATTCGCTGTTAAAACTTTATAAGTCTACTTACCACAGACGGATAGGCAACCTACCCCCGGGAATGGGGTAGGTTGACCAGTTTTTCCTATAACACAAAAACTGGCCTGTACTCATTATTATGATAAATAACACGCTTTGTGCCCCTTCTTTTCAAAGCTTAATAGTGTATCTAATAATTGCACCCGTTTTTATAATAATATACTCTATAGAAATAAAAATATAAACATTTAAGCAGAAAATT